GCCCCCCCGCCCCCCCGCCTCGCAAGGGCACGGCGCGACGCAGTCGTGGTCCCCCACCTGCAGCCAGTTGCGTGTCTCGCTGTCGCCGTTGACCTTCTCCTCCCAGAGCTCCCACATCTTGCAGGTGCAGGGGGAGTGGGGCTCGCCGCGGCACTTGAAGCAGAACGAGACGCCGCAGGGGCACTCTGGCTCCACGTACGGGTCACTGTCCACCTTTGAGAGGTGGTAGGGCCAGGGGCCCCAGGGAGAGGAGGGGTGCAGGGCAGATTCTTGGCGGGCACACAGAGGGCGGGGCCGATGATGCGGGTGCGATACGGTGCATGTGCATGCACAAGTCCGCGGGCCCAGACGCGAAGGGGGGGCGCAGCCACTGGCCCGGTCATGCAGCAGCTGCCACGCACTGGCGCGGCCGCCTGCGGAGGCGCACGGCCCCGCGCGGAGCGCACCTGTACGGCGTGGCCGCACCAGGGCGCGCTGGGGCAGAAGGCCACGCGCGGGCCCTCCAGGTACGACTCCAGGTGGCTCTGGCGGTACTTTGCCAGCAGCTGCGGCTCGCCCTGAGGGGGGGGAAGGGCGGGGGTGGGGGCGCACCACGCAAGAGGGGGTTGTGAGGCAGGGAGGCGCAAGGCCCCCCCTGGTGAAGGGCGGCATGAAGGGCGGTCAGAGCGGCAGAGCACGGTAATGTGAAATCGAGGCAGCAAGCACGGGGCGGATGCAGCGACGCGCACAGCACGCAAACGCGGCCCAGCAAAGCCGCCCGCGCCCTCCCTCGCCCGGTGGCGCCCCCCTCATGCCACCTCACACCTGCATGACGCGCTCCACCAGCTCCTCGTCGCACACTATGCCGCACTTGAAGCTCATGCACGTCACGTGGCACGCCTTGCCCTCGCTGATCTGGACCTGCAGGTGGCCCCGCCAACAGTCGTCGCAGTACGCGTGGCCGCAGCTGTTTACGCTGCACTGGGCCGCCGGCAGCTCGCTCATGCAGACCCCACACGTCACGGGGCCGCCCGTCGCGGGCGCTGCCGTGCCGCTGATGCTGCTGTTGCCGCTGCCACCGCCGCCGTCTGGCTGCACCACCAGGCCCGCCACCTTGTAGACGTGCTCGTAGCCTTTGTCACCCAGGTCATCTGGAGCAGGAGTGTGGCAAGGAGGACATCGGGGTTCAGATGATTGGGGTGCGGGGTGCAATAACGGTCTGGCCTCGTGCCTGCGCAATGCGACAGGAGTGCGGTACAGAGTGAACCCAGCCCGCTAACCGATGCCAGGTGGAGAACGCACAAGCCACCGTAGGGCCTTCTCAGCTGCCCGCGGCAGGCCACCTGACCAGCCACCTTGCCAGGCCCTTGGGGCCGCCATGCGCCCCCCCCGCCCCCTCTCCCCACCCGGGGCCTCACTCAGAAGGCGCTCCTTGTCCCACATGTAGGCCATCAGCAGGGTCTTGGCCACGCTGGCCCCACAGCCCCAGATCGCACCGACCTCATCGATCGCACCCTGCTGCAGCCGTTTCATGCTGTCAGCAGTGATCACGCGGTAGCCTAGCCGCCTGCTGTCGCCGTCGTCCGCGGGGGTTGGCCCGGCGTCGTCGCCGTCGGACGAGCCGTCAGAGCCGGCCGGCGCGTCATCGCTGCTGCTTGCGCCCGCGTCGGCGCCGTCGTTGTCATCGCTATCGCCGGCGTCATAGCTGTACTCAGAAGGCTCGCTGCCGCTCATGGCCTCGTCGTCTGTCGCCTGGCTGTCCTCATCGGCGTCGCGCATGCGGACGCTCATTCCGACTGAGGCCAGGCGGTGCTCCACGGCGCGCCCCCTGCGGTGGCGGCCGCGCGAAACGCTGCCCTCTACCACCTCGGATAATTACTTTGACGTCTTCTATGCCACCCGGAAAGCGGCAGCTTGTTGGCGCGTTTTGCAACCTTAGTGACCCTGATGGCTCGGATACCCTTCTCGAAACGAGCTATCAACTATTTAAAACAGGCGAACACGCACCAAAGAGCGCGCTTCTTGGGTGCGCTGGGATGGAGCCTGTGCGCGCAGTGGGCTCGGAGACTTCAGGCACGCTGTCGGAATGGGGAACACCGCTGCAATAAGGCAATATCTATATATCTCGCTTGAACTCGTCTGGCTGCGCAGGCACTGGAACGTGGTACACCCCGGATTGCTTGCCACTTCCCTGCGCGGCAGCTTCCGATGTGCCCGCGGTGTACGACTACTTGTATGATTGCAGCCACTGAAGAGGCCACGGCCCTGCAGGTCGAGCAGGGAAAACCTGATGGCATTCGTCTTTCTTACAGTCCATTCTGTTGACATTCGCATTCCAGCAGCCCCGCCTGCATCCAGTCGACCTGGGTGGCTGACTGCAGGAACCTGCCTGGAATTCGGCAGGCCAGCACTGGTCGCGGGTCATAAGCTTCGTGCTGCCCATGAGAGCGCTATACCTGTCACACAGATCATGATGCTTGCTTGGCGCCGAGCTTTAGAAGGACACCCTCAACAACTGCTGTGCGGCTGGGCGGTGTAGCTGACCCAACAACTGACCCGAAGTGCGGCGCTGTCATTACAATATGCAGGCACTGGTTGCTCATATTTTGTTGCAGGCAGCAGCAGATTGGCCACTGCACACACTTCTTGCGGATAAGGTCGTTCGACACGTAAGCTAGAGGAATGGATTCGTACAAATACGCCCCTCCACACAACACGGTGGCAGCGTCTGGGTATGACGCCCAGGCCCCAGACCCCAATGGCCGGTACGGGCGCGGCCACAGCGCCGTCTAGCCAGCAACAGCCAGCTTGCTTGTAACACTCGGGCGCTGGTCTAATCGTCGTCCACCCACTCCCTGCGGTCCGTCCACCTGCCAGAAGCGCAGGGGGCGACCAGGGGGGGCGCATTCAGGGACGCAGGAAGCCGATGACGGCCAAACTACTGCAATGTAGCTTAAGCTTGGCGGCGTGTCACAATCTATGGCTATCTGCTTGCCGCGTGGGATTGAGATGACAATCCAGGATGCTGGGCTGATTTGGCGGGAGGAGAACGCCAGGTGCCATGGGACAGCAAACATGGGACAGCAAACATGCTCAATGCCAGGAGCGCATGCTAGGGGCCTGGCGTGAAATGCAAGGACCGATGTGGGGCTCGGACCTCCCTCCCTTACCCACGACACCATCCAGCAGTCTGGGAGTGTGGTCCTGAGAGCCCCGCCCACCCGTCAGCCCGCCCGCCCGCTGCTCGGCAGGGCCCTGCCCCGGGCACCGCCTGCAGCACAAATCCTGCGCAGGTCGATTAGTGCTCCCACCCGCCCTCCGTGCCCCCTCTTACTTGGGCTTCCTGACGGCTGCAATCTCCTCGTCAGTCATGTACTCGCCGGTCTCCTCAAACGTCGCGCGGTTCATGGCGCGCAACTCCTCCAGGCGCTCCTCGTCGCGCTCAGTGCGGCTCACATACCACACAGGGGCACCAATGCCGAGAAGCAGGCCCAGAACCACGCCGGCAACGCTCAGTTGCGTGTCCGGGTCGCTGAAGTCGAGCTCAATGGCTCGGCAGGGAGCAAATCGCTGCTGGCGCGTCACGACTCGGCGCACTGGGCTGCTGCTAAATGCTACAGCGTGCTTCTGGGTCGCGGGACGGCTGCCAAGCTGCACGCGAGACGCCTGAAGTGCCATCGCGATCTGTGTGGCACCCTGAGGCTGGTGGATGGCGCTACCAAAGCCAAAACAATCACAAAACGAACAAAACGACCAAAATTAAGCGTGTGAAGTGCACACGCGTACAATGGCTGGTTGTGCTGGCGGTCAACTTGGCCCGAGCAGCAAACACGCACCACCCACCTCTCACTGGACCCATGGGCACACTCATGATCTACAGTACCGTATTGGGAAAGGATAGATGTCAATGCACAGATCCCGCCACCTGGTGTACCTGGATTGGTTACTTGTATGCTACAGTGGAGAGGCGGGTGCGCAAGCCAGCACGCGCCAGTGGTGCATGTGCAGGCCGTTGTGCAAGGCAGCGCACATTGGCTGCCGCAGTCGGGGGCGATGCACAGCTGCGGCCTAACCCTCCTGCCGAGCACCTAGCGTTGAAGTACAGTTGCCAGCGTGCGCAGCTATAGGTACAAGGGGTGGTGCCCATAAAAACCAGCCCTTCTGGGTGAGGCCTGCGAGGGTGGGGCAGGCTTTTTCAACGGGTGGACTCGCAACGCTTGGCGGCACAGCAGGCAGAAAATGCACGAGTTATGGCGGAGCAGTGGGCCGAGACCACTGCTTGTAGACTTGGCACGCCATAAAGGGGCAACGGTGCCATTGGCCCTCTTTGTACAGCGCTGCAGGTTGCATGCGTCAATGCTCGCAACGTTGTATCAGGATGGCAGGTGCCTGGTCAAATGGAACTCGTGGGACGAACCCAGGCAGGGAGTCTGAACAGTAGAAACCGCGTCAATCCTCGACCGGATAAAGACCGCCAGCAAAGCTGGTTGGGCTAGAGGCCGGCATGCCAAAAGCGGCACCTCATACAGTCGATTGCATGCACATCTTCAATGCAAAAATGGCCAGCAACCGGCTCTGGGGGCGCCAGCGGCCAGCGGCGCGCTGCAGTGGAGGGGGTGTACGCTTCACAGGTCTATGAGGCGTGGTGACGTGTACCGCTGGCGCGTGCTGCGGCAACGCTGAACTAAGCAGCCATGCGCGGGCGCATCGGCAGCGGCGTACGCCGCCGCCGCTGCCCCTGACGAATCTGCGACTTGGGGGAGCAGCCACATGGGGGCGCCGTCACCCGCCACCAGAGGTACCGTGTGCGGCTCTGCCCGTTAGAACCAGAGGATGCGCTGCCTCTCCGCAGCAGTCTGCGCCTGAAACCCCTCTGATGGCTGCAGCTCCGCCAGGACCGCGCGCACCTGAGGTGGCGCGCGATGGAGGGCGGCAGGGAGCCAAGATCTGGTTGATGGGAGTCAGGCAAAGCGCTAGGGAATGGGAAGCCGTGGACAACCCAGCACGCGCTGCACCCCAGCTTCGGCAGGCCCTACATTAAGGCCTTCTCACCCTGGTGGCGCCTGCTGCCAGCTCAGCAGCGACGCGGTCCACCTCGGCCCGGCTGAGGGCGGCGTAGGCCTCCGACTTTGAGGAGGCGCTGTAGTGGGCCGCGATGAAGGCGGCCGCGGCGCGCTGCAGCTGCGTGAGGCCCAGCTCGCCCCCCAGGCGCAGCAGGGAGGGCGCCTCGGCCGCGCCCTGCTCTGGCTCCAGCTGCGGCGGGAGGGGTGAGGGGGCGGTTTGGGGCCCGCATATCGGGGTCGCATGTGGATAGGCTGCTGGGGGAGGAAGGTAAGTGCGTGTGCGTGTGCTTGTGCGTGCGCGTGCGCACGCGTGCTTGCGTGCGTGCGTGCGTGTGTGCACGTATGTGTGCGCGCGTGTGTGTGTGTATGTGTGTGTATGTGTGTTTGTGAGTGCTCGCCTAAGAACAGTTCCATGGGGGCCGACAGGTTGAATAGATGGCACAGCTTCAGCAGGATGAGCGGCGAGGTGCAGGCACCTAGCGCACAGGGCAACCCACAACCAGAAGCTGGACCTGCTGGCTGCCAGCTGCAGGGCACCCCCTATCACCTGCAGCAGTGCGTCCACGAGGCGATGCTCGCACAGCTCAATGAGCCTGACGCAGGGAGGTGTAAGTGTGAGGAGTACGGGAGAGCCGAGTGCTGGATGATGCAGCCAAACGCTGCGCAGGCAAGGCCTCGTCCCTGCATCGCTGGGCTCACCTGAGCGAGTTCGTATGGCGTGTGCGGCCAAACCAGCAGTCCTAATACATGCTCACACCAACACTCACAAGTCGCACGCGCGCACACACACCCTCATACACACCCTCATACACACACTCATACACACACTCATACACACACACACACACACAGACTCCGTCACTTGCAGCCAGTTGCACCAGTGGCCAAACATCAAGGCCCCAGTCTGCCCTAATCCCATGCCTGCCCACCTGGTGCAGCCATAGAAGCTCCCAACATGCAGCAGCTCAGCCAGTTGTGGCGGCTCAAGGCCTGAGGGCAGCACGTCTGTGTAGATGTACGACACCAGGGCCTGTGGGGTTGGGGG